GGTCGAACCGTTCCAGAGCTAAGGGGAGCCGAGTGAGAGCAAAGCATGTTACAAATGCCGGCTGGGCCTGCGATACGCATGGGCTGCTGCGCCATCTCAGAGGCTAACAGATCCTGAGCTTACAACAACCCCGTCTCTACTCAGACTCTACTGAAAATATTCATGCAAAATGCTGGGCAGGAGAGAGCTCCGAGCCCCGGTTAGGAAAGGGACCCCCTGCAAGCTACCTCCGGACTCTCAGGAGGGAAAAGACTGGGTGGAGTGCTGCAGACTGGCCGGGAGCTTTGGAGGCCTTTAGATGGCCCATTGGAATTGGAAAAACTGGGAGGGGATAATTTTTAGCTTTCTGGCTACTTGCAGAGGAATGGGGCCGGCGGCAGAGTGAAGTAAGGCTGGGAGGACACAATGGAGGAGGAGGAGGAGGAGGAGGAGTCGCTTCTATCCTGCAGCCGAAGGCCTTTGCCCTGCACGCTCGGAGCCCAGACCCTTTCTCGCCTGGCCTTAGCGCTTCCAGCTCCGCAGCTGGAGCCCGGCAGCACCCTGGTTCTTTCTGGGACCTTGCTACCTCCAAAATGGACACAGGAAATTCAGCCTTCATTATCCACTCTCTACCCTAAATACGACAAAAATGTTATTGCTGGCCCTTCCACAACAGAACTGCTTTTCCTCTGAAAGGAAAGGAGGGTAATGTACCCTTTTCCGCTGTGATCCCGTGGATATTGACGCCACCGTTTCCAGTACATTGAGAAGTTACTCCAGGCCAGTAAAAGGGGGGCTTGGGCAGATGTGGGAAGCCAGGTACAATGAGGCGGCAGGGAGGTGTAAGGAGACCTCAGGCACTCTGACGACAGCAGAGGTTCCACAGGAGTCACCCATTGCCAGCACGCGCCTTTCCTAGGTCATCGCTCTGAACTCAGGGGGCTTTCACTCAAGATCCCATTTAACCTGGACTTACACCGTAATTTTCTCCTTGTCAGTAAAGCGGAGCGTTTTTGACTGTTCTGTTGTACCTACTGAAGAGGCTCAGAAAGTCAAGAGACACCCTGGCAGCACCCTCAGACCCCAGGAAGTGAGCGAAGTTTACCAATCCGATCGTCCTTGAGCCACATTGTTGAGCAGGATGGCCAGGACTCCAGGGTTGCCATGGTGACCAGGAAACCACCGAAGGTCCTCGCGGAAAGAATCCTTCGGGAACCTTGTACAACTGGCTGTGGGCCTGCTAGTTTCACCCCTGGTGTTTCAGTGCGATTTGGAGGCCGGAGCAAGGCACCTCAGTCTCCACTTTCAGACCTTTCCATGGGGGGTTGCTCTCCAGGCTAATAGAGAAGAAAAATTAGAGGTCTCGACCAAGCCATCACTTAGGTGACGGATCCTTCCATTTTGGGGTTTGGCTGCCCTCCTCACCTGAACCCCCACCCAGCTCTCTTCACCTCCCCTCCCCTCCTCAAGGTCATTACTAGAGATTTCACTGGCAGCTCCAGGCAGGGTGGCCGCTTCCACCTCCTCCACAGCTCACGGGAGCTGCTCCTGCAGTGGGGCCTACAGCCTCCTGTCCCGCAAACTTTTCCAAGGTAAAAGGGTGCAACGACCGCAAGGATTAGCTTCTCAGACTTAGCGGGCTACTCCAGCATCAACGAAACAATTTTAGGTTCTCTTAACCCAAGGCAGACCAAGTCAGAAAAACCTAATCAGACCTCAGGAATTTTCAAAATCACTTCCCTGGCTCATTTTGGCCTTGGGGTGAATTTTGCCTGAATCCTCAGGGTGAGCTGGGAGACATTAAGCTGAGCCTTCATAAAGGGGGTAATTATTCCACAGTTGCGATCTCCTCTGTTTTCTTTGCCCCTAAGAGTGCGGGACCTCTGAGCATTGACTTAGGGAGGGATCTACACTCCTTCTCCCTTAAGTGCAGCGCTTTATGAAACCTGGGATCGAATTCTGTCCAGTGGGGATGCCTTGCTCCTTCCCTCGGCCTGGCTGGAAAGAGGCCCCGCAGGCAGCCAGCGTCGGGACTGTAGTTTCATCTCTGGGTTTGAATCCAGCCCTTTGAGCAAGCTTAACACGTGTGGATTTAATTTCCCTTTCTTTCTTGCTTTCTTTTCTCTCCCCCCACCCCTCCCTGAGAGGGAACAAGAAAAATAGTCTGCCGTGTCGACAGCGCGACACTGTTCCGTTTGCCAAAGAAAATTTGTCTTTCCAGAGCCCTGGAGAACAGCGGGCTCCCAAATTTCCATCTCACCCATCAGTGGAGGCGAACGGGGTGTCCAGACAGGCCCCCTGCCCGCACCCCAGACCTGGTGGCTTTAGCCTAACTCTCTACCTTACAAAGTCAGAGCCTTGGAATTCAAGCTGTTTCCCCCGCAAACACACACACACCTTTGGGGCTGCTGAGGGTGTAGACCCAGGCGCCATACCCGGAGGGCCTTCAGCGCGTTCTGGGCTGCAGATACAGCTGCATTCCCAGGCTCCGTCCAGCGTGCACAGGCTCCAGATTCTCAGTGAGACCCTCTCCTTTCTCAGGAGGTAACTTCCCGAATTGGAGGGGTGAGAGCAGCCGCCCCATTAGCACTGAGCGTCACTCGCTGTCACCTCCTCAGCTCTTTGGAAGTGTGCAGGTCACCAGCACACACCTCTGTCTCCTCCGTCTGCTACCATGTCTCATTATGCTTAGCAGGAAACAAAACAACAGAACAGAAACAAAATCCCATCCACCAAGCTTGGGGAGTGGGGGGAAATAGTTCCCAAACCCATGCAAACGTGGGTAGCAAAATAGTAGGGTTTTTTGGGTAGAAATACTGGAGTGGGATACTGCATACTGAATAATAGTAACAGCAGCAGAAGCACTCAGTATTCTTCCCAGAGATTTCAGGTCAAAGGGAGAAAACTGGGAACCGACTAAAACACTGGGAAGGGAACTCTTGTAGCCCTGGAAAAAATATAATAGAGCCAGATTTCACTAGGCAAGAGGGAAAGTGACCTCCTGAGAAAAGAGGAAATTTCCCACCCTCGGCCTGACCCATTTGTTTTGCAAAATAAATTGGTCAAAGTTTAGTTTTGTCATCGTTTCAACTGTTCTTATTAATTTTCCCAGGGCAGTCTGTACTTTTCTGTACTTTGGGCCCCGGTGGAGGAGAGCTGGAGTGGATGAGGCCGGGACAGGGGCATCCTGGGAGAGGTGGACGGGAGTGCATTTCTGAGTGTATTCTCTTTCGAGAGGACAACAATATAATAGTGTTCAATGTGACTTTCTTTAAAATCAGACGGAAAAATGGAAGACAGATCAACAGCATCACTCCCTTTGTTTTTTTTTTTTTTTTTTAATTAAAAAAATACTATTCCAATCTCTCCCAGGCACTGCAGGATTAAAATCAGGGCGGGAGTTTGGGGAAGGAGAACAATACACTTCGCAGGAAAACTGAGCAGGCAGCAGGTTCGTTGGGGAAGCATCATTTTTCCAAAAGAAGGGAGGGAAGTGTGTGTTGCAGCGGGATCCAGAGTCGACCGCCCAAACGCTCAGGGAAAAGAATGGCGATTGTAAAATCCAACCGCGGTCTTCAGTTTGGGATCTGCGGTGCAGCCCGAGAGAGCTTGGCTCCCAGGATCTTTTTCGAGCTAGTCCAGGCGGTTCCGGCCGGAATTTGAAAGAGAGGAGTTAAACTGGAAGGAACTCGCTCCATTCAGAGTTCACTTTTTCCCTCCTGCCCAGTGGGGCCTAGACCTCCGCTTCCGGCCTACCTAGGCCCACAGGTCACCTGGGAACTCATCAGAACGAGGGCTCCCACGAAGAATTTCACTTGAGGCCGCACTGCGGCTCCTAGAAGAGATGGCTGCGCCGACAGGCCTCGCATTTGGGGAAAGGTAGTTAAGACCTTGAGAAACGAAAGCGAAGCCACCGCAGCTCGGCCCGGAGGAGGACGCGGGTTCTGCTGGCTGGAAGCGGCTGTGTCTGCGGCCCGGCTGGCCCGGGCGCCCGCGGCCGCGCTGGAAGCCACTGCCCGCTGTCCCCGCGGGCCTGACCTTGGCTCCCGCAGCTGCTCAGCCGGCTGCGTCTCTGCGCTTTTCGCCGCCGCTCCATCCTGGGTAGACCGGGCCTGCAGCCAGGCCATGCTTTGGAAAGCCCTGGGGGTTGTCAGGGCGCAAAACCCAGAGTCAAACCCGAAACTGGGGACACGTCTAGACTCAGAGGCCCGGCTCCCTCGGGGCCCCTGGGCGGGCCGGCAACTTACCCTTCCAGAAGGCCCGGCGCGCTGGCTCTGCGCTGGGCAGGCCCAACTCTTCCCTCGGCGCTGCCAGGGGCGTCTACACGGTGCGTTTCGCAACTCAGCCTAGCGGATCTCCAGTGGCGCGCAAAAGCTTGCGCACAGCCACCAGGCTACTTAGAAATCTCGCCCTTTGATCAGACTAGAAATAACTGTCGTCGTTGTCATGACAGAACAAAATAGAACGCCTCGGCCCTCTGCGGGACCGGCGCTGTAATTTTTCTTTGCAGAAATCACGCTTTCCAATCCCACCCTCGCTCCACCACCCACTCGCGCCCCACCCCCAGCCGGGCCACTGTGGGACGACTTGCATCCCCCGACCTGGTCAGAGGAGCCTTCTCGCAAGGGCCTTTTCTGTCTGCAAGAAACATCTCGGGAAACTCTCTTTCTCTCTGGGAACTTCTCGGTTTCTTGTTTCCCCTCCGCGATGACCCAGTAATTACTCTGTGCTGTTCTGCAATTGGGCGCGTGGTTATCGCGTCGGAAAGGCAAGCCCCGGAGAAACTCCTCCACATGCATTTGCTGGGAGCTGAGCTCCCCTTCAGAAAAACAAAACAAAACAAAAACACTTCTTTTTAAATACCAAGAAACCCTTGCCTCTTGCAAGAGATCTCATTCCTCCTAACAACTCGATTTCTTTCTAAAGGGGGCTGAGGTGGGCGCCCACCTCTCTTCTCTAAGCGTCCCTTCCTCTCCTTCACTCTAAGAAAATCGATCTTGGCTTTGTGTCTTTATGTTCACCACCCCCATCTCCCCCCGAGAGCTCTAGGTTTGTTTGTTTCTTTATTTATTCCCGGGGCCAAGGCATCTAGGACTTGAGGCTTCCAGGACGGGGACTGAGAGAGCAAGACTGAGACGTGAACCTCCCGCTGCTGCCCTTCAAGTCAAGCGTGACAGCGCGGGCCGGTTGCGTGACTGGTGACGTCTCCAAGCCCTATAGGTGCAGCGACTGGTGAGATAGTCCGTATCGCCTGGTTGCCTCTTTATTTTATTGGGGTATGCCTGGTAATAAACAGTAATATTTAATTTGTTGGAGACCACAAGCCAACTACGAGCTGGGAGGTACTGTGCTCCTCCGGACAGACTTTGGAGAGAAGCCTGGCCTAAGAGGGGGTTCGCTTCTGGGGTCCTTTCAAGCCCTGAAGCCCCAGCCTCAGTGAGGTGGCCTCCTGGATTCTACGAGGAAAGAAGAGGTGGAATTTTTGGAGGTGAGTGTGGGCCCTGAGAACTAAGCTCTCTCTACACTTCCTCTGCCTCAGGGCCCCTGGCCTCCCATTCCTACACCACCTTGCTGAATGCCCTCATCCTACCTTTCCAGAAAAGTAAGACGATCACACTTTCGAATTTTGAGCTCAGGTGTGACTGGTAGGGATAGACTGTGTCCCTTCCCTGCTTAATAATCTCAGTTTTGCTTGGTAGACCTCTCCATGCTGTCTCCAGGAACTAAGCGAGTCTGGCTGGGCAATTACTTGGGGGAGTCCAGAGTTTCCCTCTTGGGAAGGGTCTGCAGATTATTTATGGGAATTAATTTCATCCGCCAAGTCCCTGTGACTTTAAAGGGATTGGAGTGATCTTTCTGGATTTCCCCTTCCTTCTACCAGAGAGGCGGGGATTGAGGCTCCTCTTGCCGCCATGCTTGTTTTTCATTCTTGTTTTGATCTTGGTCCCCAACCTGGGCACCTCTTCAGCAGGCTCGGAGGCCTGGAGCTGACATTTTGGAAGTAAAGATGTTTTCACAAATAACACGAATTGCCATGGCCAAGGTCTGTTTCAAAACAAATGTGGAAGGAAGAGGGGGCTGGTTTTCTGCCCGGTTGCCCCGTCTGGAAGGTTGGAAGAACCTGGGCTACACCACTGCCAACCTCGGGGACATTTCTCCTCTCTCCACCGCTGTCTCCACGCCCAGTCTCCAGTCAGAGCCTGGGAAAAGAACAGGACAAAGGGGTGCAAGAGCGGGAAGCAGGACAGGACCTCTGCCATTTATTCCAAGCCCCAATAGTGGGTGTCCCACTCTGGGGCTGCTCCAGGAGACCTACTGACTGTGTTTCTGCTTCCATTGACCTCTTCAATCATGCTCAAAACAGTGCATTTCAGAGTCGAGGGCAGGGAGAGGAGCGCAGAGAGCAGAGAGATGAAAACCCCCGTGACTGTTTGATTATTTTAATAAGGCGGGGCACTGCCTTGTGTACACCTCCAGCCGGTGGTCTGGTGGCCCTAGCGGGGTGGGGGTGGGGTGCGGACCCACTGCAAGGATGACTTCTTGGCATCTTTGATCCTGGTCCTCACCCCAAGGCGCCTTCATCCCCAATGGTTGAGAGTGGGGTGATGAGTGGGGGCTGGGGAAGACATGGCAGGGCGGCCAGCCCCGGCTCCTGCGGCCACGCGGGGTCACGCAGCTCGGCCCGAGGTCAGCGCTGGAGAGAGAATGTGGGTGAGGCTGCAGAGGCCTGGCGCGTGTGTGCTCTCCCAGCGCCTTCAGACCGGGTTCTCGGCAGGGCCCGGTCATGGGGATTACTGTACTTCCCGGGGAGAAGGGTTTGCCGTGATTTGTGCACGCTTCTTGCAGCCGCCACCGGCTCAGCACAGCACAGATGCAGCGGAGGGGAGGGGTGAGCAGCAGGTCTGGGCTGGAGAATCCCATCGTGAGCTGAGTGTTTGGGAAATCTAGTGGAAAAGTGGGAAAAGTCGTAGGTGGAAGAGGGAGAAAAGAGGGTGGGAGGAGGAGAGGGAGAGAGGGAGAGAGGGAGGAAAGAGGAAGGGAGAGAGGGAAAGAGAGAGAGGGGGCAGTGTGTGGGGGAAGGTAGTTGGATAGGCGATTTCAGTACTTTGTAAGCATCAGTGTAGCTCAGCGTCACTGTGCTCAGCAGAGCTGGCTTGTGTTAGAGAGAGAGAGAGAGAGAGAGAGAGAGAGAGAGAGAGAGAGAGAGAGAGAGAGGGAGGGAGAGGGAGGGAGGGAGGGAGAGAGAGGCTTTTACCTCGAATTCCGGAACTTTAACCCTGGAAGCAGCGCTTCGACTTTCAGAAAATTCCCTGGACTTTCTCCTCTCCCAACCTTTCTTCCCGGGGTGCCGAGGAGGAGCGCAGCCCTGGGGATTGCACAGCTAGGCTGTGCGGGCTCCGAGAGCCGCTACTCTGTGATTCTGGGAGCCCTTCTGGCGCCTGACAGCTTGGAAGTGTTCAGGGAGTGCGGCGCGCGGAGGAGGTGTGTGCTTGAGGTGGGCAGTCGCCGCCTAGGCTGCAGCGAGGGCGGCTGCTTTGTGGGCGGCTGTATCCGCTAGGCTGGGCGAGCGGTCCCCAGCGTGAAGCCCGGAGTCACCATGCCTGCACCCCCGCCTCACCACGGGCTTCCCTGCTAGGAGGAGGAGGGGACGTGGTGAATGCACCGGCTTCGCCGAGCGAGCGAGGTAACCGTCCCCGGAGATGGCTGGGGCGGCTCGGGTGGGAGCTCCGCGCCGAGTCGGCTCGCGGGGGCGCGCACGGCGGACTCCGGCCTCTCCCGGCGCCCTGCAGAGCCCGGGTGCAGAGAGTGGCGCGGCCCGGACCTTCCCAGCGAGCGGAGCCCGGGAGGCGGCCGCAGCCGGGGGAGCGGAGCTGCGGCTCGCAGGGCGCGCGGCCTGGTTCTGTCAAAGCGCATCTTGTTCTTCTCTGCCAGCCCGGAGCTCCCCGGACCCTGGCAAGGGCGCGGGGTGGGGTTCTACCCGCCGCCCGGAGTGAACGGGAGTGTATGTGGGGGGCGCCGGCCCTGCTTTCTTTTGTTGTGAGCAGACTGTAGGGCTCCCACCGCTGATCCCCCAAACTGCAAGGACGACGGGAAAGAAGCTGCTTGAGGATCGGGCCTCAGACGCCCGTCCTCTCGGCCCCATCTTTACACCCTGGGCCGCGGCAGACCGGGGCGGGATCCAGTCTTTTACCCAAGCGCCTGCTAGGGCCGCGGGGGCCGCGGCTTGCGTTCCTTTCCCGAGGACTCCTCGTGTTTTCGGCGGGTTGGCGGTGCGAAGCCCTAGCTGGGAATGGCGAGGAGCTGGAAGATCGGGGAGCGGGAGGCCGGCTGTAGCCTCTCCGCAGCCGTGGGTTTGTGAGTTCCGTCCTCCGGTCCTGCAAAACCCTGCCGTGCCCCCTAGTGCAGCGGACCAGGCGGGCAGTCCAATACCTGTAACCAACACTTATCAGGGACGAAGTTCGACTGCTCCAGCCTCCAGCCAGGCCTACAGCTCAGGGAAGCTCTACAAAAATGCGCGCCTGGGGATAGAGCTTAGAAAGCCGGGAGACCGCTCCCCTGGGCGCCTGGGTGCTCTCCCGTCTCGGACCTGCCGCAGTCATTTTCTTCCTTGGGTCTCTGTACGGCTGCTTTGTACTTATTTTTGACAAGTCATGCTTAAGTTTGGGGGAAGGCGGGGACTTTTAACTTTAAAAAGCCTTCCACTTTCCAGCCTGTATCTGTTAAAGATGCCAGGAATTCTCTTTTGGAAACTGTTGTCTCCTTTTGCACGTCGTTTTTCTCCTCTGCTTTTGGTTTTGCAAGAGGCGGGTTATTGAAGGCATTTGGCCTGCTGCAGACATACGTTCCTTTTGTAAGGTTTCATAAAAGGCTCCGTTGGCCTCCTGTACTTGGAGGGAGAAAAGAAATCCTCCAAAGGGCCCTGGACTTTTGTTTGGTTTGGTTTTTGGTTAGTACCCAATGGCTTCCAAAAATATCGACGCCTTATCTTTATTGGCTCTTGCAGGAGTTCGGACAAATTTGACCGGCAGCTTGCTTATCGCCAGAGCCTGCGCAGGGGCGACGTGGGGCTCTCCTCCCGCTCCGATGTGGACCTTTCCAGAGAGGTTGTGCGTGCTTAGAAAGTAATAGTAATGATGATGATGATGATGATGATGATGGTAGGATTTTCTGCAGCCTCCTCCTCCAGCTAGGAACGGAAGTGCTGGAAACCGGATCAAACTGTTCCCCTCCTTACTAGGACTGCCCTCTCCAACTCCTTCTCCCCTCTCCCTCCTCTTCTCTCAGAGCAGAATCTTGCGCGGGCACCAGCCCCAGGGCGCACCATGGCTGACGCAGACGAGGGCTTTGGCCTGGCGCACACACCTCTGGAGCCTGACTCGAAAGACCTGTCCTGTGATCCCAAAGCTGAGAACGCGTTAGGGGCCCCCAGCAAGTCTCCGTCTTCTCCACAGGCCGCCTTCACCCAGCAGGTAAGGAGATCTTACTCTGGCCGCCTTTCGTAGGACCAAAGCCAGGTTTGGCTTCCCTTCTCAATCCCTTTTGCGAGCGAGCGAGAATCTACCCCCAATCTTTCCTTGTTTTCCCACTCAGTCTCACTGTTCTCTGCCCAGTCTCCCAAAATTCCAGCATATTGGCCACCCCAAATTCCATTATACTGCAATCGCATTATTGGGATGATTATCTTTATGGCCTGGGGATTTTTGAGATTTATTTAAATTGTTGGAAAAGTCTCAATTACCCAGCTATTTGGGGTCAGCTAACAATAGCCCAGGTAATTTTTTTTTCTCCCCCGACACACTAAGTGCAGAATTGGCCCTGAGCCCCTTATGAAGGACCCAGTCAGTAGTCGCTCCAAGCCAGTGTGAGCGATGGCTTGACCCCTCTTTAGATCTTCCGTAGCCTTCGCCTGCAAGCCCGCCTGGGCCCCAGCTCGCTGCACCATTTGTCTTGCGGTCGGGGCCTGGCGGCTGTTGTACCCTCGCCAGCAGAGGAGCACCCAGGGCTGGGCCAGGAGGGCACACCCCCGCGACTGGACTTGCCTGGCTCCCTGCTCCCTAAACCTGGCAGCAATGGGTGTTAGAGGGGCCCTAGCGGACCCCATGATTTTATACAGGGCACAAAGCAGGGTGACTTGGCCAGAAGACACATCCACATAGCTGAAATGCTTCTTTGGGATTTCCTTGTGGTTCTAGGATTTTTTCATAAATTTCTGCCTTTGCACTTCAAAAAAAAAAAAAAAAAGAAGTATGTGCATTTTTATAGAAGCAGCCATCCTGAGCACAGCCTGTAGCAAAACTTACAGAATTTTTAAAGGAAAAGTGAATCCTCTTTTTGTACTATGACTGATTATTTGAAAACGAATACTTCATATTATTTTTTTGCCTCCATTTCGTAAAACAACTTTTAGCTAGAAAGCGAAATGTTAGATGGCTTAAGCTATCACCTATTATCAAAATTGCTGGGAGTGAAAGGCCTTAGGTGTAGGGAGGGCCTGGGAACTTTAGTAATACAGACACAGAATTGTTTCATTGTTGCTGTTCTGAGCTGCAGGGAGGTGTCATAATGTAAACGTGTTTAGATTGAAGATTTAAGGTATGCTCCTTTTTGCTTCCACTGTGATTGGAGGGAAACTTGCACGCACAATTTGCACACGCAGTTTGCACATCTGTATGTTTTGTGAGTGGACATCTGGGTGTCTACCCAAGAAGATCTTGAGTGGGTTTTTCTAGCTGGAGGTTTTGTGGGTTTTTTTTCCAGCTATATCTTAGCCAGATTGAAATTGACCAGCCTGTCCTCCCCGACGTTTCTGAAGCAGCCCCATGTTTGATTTCTCTAAGTGTTATGTTGGTCAGCGGCGTTAGGTGACAGCATGATTCTGTGGGACCCAGGAGTTGTTGGACGCCCCTCTGGACTGAGCAAAAACAGGCGGGGTGGATTCCTGGGCACAGCCACTCTCCGAGGCTCAGGCTTTGAGGAGGAGAAAAAGCAGTCTGTGGGTTCTCTGGGAGTGGGGGAGGGAGGGAATGACCCTCCGTACCAAGGCTCACCGCTGTGATTTTTCTCCCCGCTTACTGCAGGGTATGGAAGGAATCAAGGTGTTTCTCCACGAAAGAGAGCTGTGGCTGAAATTCCACGAAGTGGGCACGGAAATGATCATTACCAAGGCTGGAAGGTGAGCTGCTTATGGGGAAACGATAGAAGACAAGGTGACTGCCAGAGAGAAAACAGAGGGGGCAGAGAGAAAACAGAAAACAGAATAGAGGACCGAGGTGAGAGGAGGGCGAGAGGGAGAGAGAATGAATATGACTACTTTGTTTGACTCGATTCAGGTCAAAGGGGCACAGGAAGAAGTAGTCCTTGATTCTCAGAAGAACGGCGCAAATGCCCAAACCTTGATCTCTAGGCACAGGGCATTTATTTCTTCCACTTCAAATACAGAAAAAATAGAGCACGGAGGCTGTGCTCTCCGGACGGACTAGTCATGAGAGAAAGAGGAAAGAGGGAACGAGAAAACTGAAGACGGAGAGAAGGGCCTTGCGTTTCGTAGACTTCGGGCTCGGGCCCTCGCCCCCACCCCCACCCCACCCGCCGACCTTGGAGCGGTTCCAGGGTCCTGCCCGACAGACAAACTCTGGGTTGTTGAATGTATTCGCTACCTCGCTCATTGTTTACAGAAAGCGGGAGAAGCCTTTGAAAGTGAACCGGAGCTCGGCGGAGCTCTGCACACAGACACCGATAAACACGGCAGCCTGGGGGAAGCTCTCGCCCCAGAGTTCCATTCCAAGCTCTCGCGTCGTAGCTAGAAAAGTCAGGCTCGTGGAGGCGGGCGGCAGGGTCCCACACCTATGCGCCCCGGCGTGTGCGTGCACGGGGACAGCCTCGCCCCATGCCCCAGGCCCCATGCCCCATCCCCGCCCCTGCAGGCTGGTCCTGCGCGCGTCCGACGGGCCGGAGCCCCCAGGCTGCCCCGAGCAGGCGGTGCGGCGGAGAGGCCGGGAGGCTCGGCCCCAGCCGCCGACTGTGTGAAGACACAGGGTGGAGCGCACTCTCCAGACGCCCCCAGTTCTGCAGCCAAAGCCTCTCGCAATAAACTGACACCAGTGACATTTATTATTATTTGGAATTAAACAATGTCGGCTCCCTGCTCGGCCCACAGCCGGAGTGAACCAGGGGGTGCGCGCTGTGTTTATACCAAGGCACTGAGGTCCTCTTCCCATTCCCCCGCCGAGGAAGCAAAGACCCAGCCGGGCGCCTTTTCCCCCACGCCCGAGCCGAGAGGATTTAACTATAAAAGGCCTGCGAGGGCTCCGGCGCCTCCGCCTCCGCTTGCAGGCGCGCGCGGGCGTGTAAACACTCCAGGCCGGGGCTCCGCGGCTTCGGGGCGAGGCCTCGGTCGCTCTTCCCGCCAACGCCGCGCAGCGCAGGTCCAGCGACTCGGTCTCTCGTCCGGGCCAGCCTCCAGACCGGTGATTTGGGGGCGCACTCCTCAGCAGGCGGGAAAGGAGCTGGGAACGCGCGGGGCTGCTAACCCAGGGTTCTCCGACCGCGCCCCTGCGCACCACCGGCTTTTACACCCCCTCTATGCCAGCTTAGGCCCCAGCTCCTCCCGAGACCAAATCTGGATAGGTTTGGAATTTCTTCGCTGAGGAGCGAGGATTTTAGGCTTCCTGGACTGAGGGCGAGGCACCTTGGGGGAAACGGTGGAACGTTTAGGAATACACTCCAGCTAAAGACGCGTGTCCCGGCACCCATCGGGTTAAACTGGGCATCGCCCCGAAAACCACCCGCTAACCCCCAGCTCCGGAGAGGGCAGGCAAATGCACAACCGCGTGGGTCTCTCCTGAGCGCGCACGCGGTGGTGTTGGGGACGCACAGAACACCTGGGGGGAGGGTGGCTGGCTTTGAACCTAATGAGTTTCATTTCTCGCAAAGCGTAGGTGTAGGGCTCAGAAGGGAGCATTTAGTAAGCGCGGAAAGGGGGTCCCCTTTCAGCCATCTTCAAAACCGAGGCTCTCTAAGATGCAGCCTGGTTTCTGCAGTGCTTCTGGGCACCTCCACCTCCACCTCCATCTTTCCGGCCTTTGCTCTTCTCCCCAGAACTTCAAGGGAAACCCGGGGTGGATCTCAGGGAGAGTGGAACGGGGCCAGCTTTCTGGCCTCTTGTTTCTCAAGGAACGGCTGTTTCTTTTGAAATTCGTGAACAGTGCTCTTCCGAATACGGGCATTAATTCCTTCCCTTCTCTCTCCTGCTCCCTGTCCCTCTCCTAGGCGGATGTTTCCCAGTTACAAAGTGAAGGTGACCGGCCTTAATCCCAAAACCAAGTACATTCTCCTCATGGACATTGTTCCTGCCGACGACCACAGATACAAGTTCGCGGATAATAAATGGTAGGCGCTGGCGTGGCAGGGAACCGTTGAACCAGCAACTAGCTCCTGCTGTGTGCTCCTGGCTTGTGCCTTTCCCATACTACAGATCGCCCTAAAACGAAGGACCAGCTCCTAGTGTTAACTCCCATTTTATAGACCAGAAAACTGAGGCTTGGAGGAAATGAGCTGCCTCTACCTATTGCTGCACCTATGGGTTGTAGATTTTTTAAAAAGTGCATCGATGCAGGGTCGTGAGTTCAGTTCCTGGTACCGGAGAAAAACAACAACAACAAAAAAAAAATTAAAAAAAGTGCATCGTTACCAGGTGCTGAATGTATTTCTGGAGGCATAAAACCATTTACAGCTATTTTTTATAAGTTACCTGCTTTGAACATTTTTTTTTAAGTGAAATTGCAAAAACCGGCCCATGGCATTGGCGTTGAAAAGAAGAAAGAAGAGAGGTCCATTGCATGGGTCCGTGGCTCCCGAGGTGGCCAATAGTACAGAGGCTGGAAGGGGAAACCCCCACCCCTAAAGTACTTAAGGAGTTTTCAAGGTTTTTTACACGCCCAGACATCCAGAAACCGCAGATTGTTTGTGGGCAGCGAGCGGGAGGCTACAAGGCCCCTGGTGTTGCTGGCGCTGGGGGAGAATGAGGTAGAAGCAGGAGCCAGGCTGGGAGCTTGGCTGGTCACACGCAGGACACTCAGGGGCATCTGGGTGACCCCAGAAAGGAGACGCAAGGGTCAGGTCGCCGCTGGCCGCCACTGGCCCGGAGATTGCTGACACTTCTCCTTGGTCTAGGTCTGTGACGGGCAAGGCCGAGCCCGCCATGCCCGGCCGCCTCTACGTGCACCCTGACTCACCAGCCACCGGGGCTCACTGGATGCGACAGCTCGTCTCCTTCCAGAAGCTGAAGCTCACCAATAACCACCTGGACCCGTTTGGGCATGTGAGTCCCTCGCACCTCCAGCCCTTGGTCCTCTCCGCTTCTTTAGCCACCCGCCCCTTTCTTGTTCTCCTTTCTGATCTCAACTTCTCTCCTCTGTTCTTTTTCTCCTACCTTTTGCATCTCTTTTCCGTTACCTACTCCTCCCCTCCTCGTTGAGTTTCCCCTCTTTCCCTTTGTCCTCCCTCTGTCTTCACCATCTTCCTGCTCAGAGGGTGCATTCTCGGCCGTCTTCCCTGAGGTCCGGTTCTGGGTCTGGGTCTGTCTTCCCTTGGCAGCTGGAGACAGGCTCCCCAGTTCTGCTGGCCCAGGGTTGAGGGTGGGGCCCCAGCACCCAGCCTTCTGCCTTCGGTGCGGTGTGGGGGTCGTGGGGTGATGGGAACCAAACCCTATGAGAGGTGAGGGCTAGGAGCTGTTTCCATCCTGTCCCTTCCCAGTCCCGCTTTACTGTTACCGGACTTTTCTGATGAGAGGGAGAGATCCCATGTCACCTGCCCAGTTCACTTGCCAGTGGGCCCAGTGGAGGCAAACCCCGGCACCAGTGCCTCTTTCTAGCTGAATGCTGTTGCAGATATGTTTTTCTTCCTCCCCGTGTCTGGCTTTCTCCTCCCCACACCCATGCCCGGAGCATGTAAGCCAGAGTCTCCAGTGGCCCAAGAGAGGGCCCGGGTGAATTCTCCAAAACTGCATGCAGGAGGTCCAGTGTGCAAGCCCCTCCTCCTGTGCAAGACAGTGTGCAGCTTTTAGTGGATTCTCGTAGGGTATCACTCCTCTTCCGCAAAGAAAATGAAGAACAGAACACTGATTTGGGAGGACATGTCCCTAAATCTCTTCACTGGAAACAGTCCCTGGAAGTCTCCAGATTCCACTCGTAGAATCCTTGGCTTGGCGTCTCCACCCTGCGGATGAGCTCATGGCCCTGACAGCGTAGAGAGGAAGGAGAAAGTGCTCAGGTTTTGTGCAGAACCCTGCAGGAGATGGGAGGTGACTTGCCCAGGGTCACACAGTTTGTATTTGGGAACAAAGATTTGAGGTTAGATCCCACTAATTCTGAAGGTGGCTCGGCCCCACCAGCTCGTCTCTCCAGAGAGAAGTGGAGGGCAGATGAGCGCCGAGAAGGAGGAGCTAGGTGGGAGGGGTTGCAGCCTGCAGCACCGGGTACAGTGGGTGGTGAGACGGTTGGGTGGATGGCCTTCGAGGAGAAAGTCCCCTAGCCCTTCTGTGCCGCCTAGAGGGCTCCGAAGGGTGCAGATGGCCTCCTGGGGACAATGAGCGGAGGTGACTGTCAGCTCCCTAGGGTGTTGGCTGGCCAGGGTTCTCCTCCAGGTTCCTGGTTTCCTGGAAGGAACGGGACCATTGCATAAAGGTCTCCCTGCTGGGGTCCTGCTCAGGGCTGGGACCACTGGGGCAGGGACCTCCCTGGAACCCCGCCTGAGAAGTGGACTAGACCCAGCACCATTTCAGCTCCTACCCTTCCCTCTGGTTTCCTGAATCTGTGACGTTGGGGTGGACACCTAGGCAAGGGGCACAGCCCTGCCGCCAAGTTTGAGGCACCCTTGTGAGTTTCAGGTCCTTCTGAATAGCTTAGGGGAAGAGGGAGAAGTGCTCGACCCCAGCCTCCGGGCTTTTAATCCAGACCCCTAATAAAATTAGGAGCCATTAGATCACTCTCACGCTGATGTCTCTGCCCTGTCCCCAGCCATCAAAGCAATTTGGCTAAGCCGGGAGGATGGCTGCACTGGCTGGGGGCTGTGGCGGCCGGCGGGGCCCCTCTGCGTCTCTCTGTCGCCACGCCACCCCGGTCGGCCGGCGTCGCTATCGGCCCGGGAGGCGGCCCGCCCCGGCAGCCGGAGATTAGAGCCTGAGGCCAGGTCCGGAGCCGCAGGGCTGAGGGCTTGCTCGCCCACCCCCACTCCCGGGGTCTTCAGGGTTGGTCCCGGAATCCTGCCCCAGGGTCATCAATGCAAATAATCAAAGACACTGAGACAAGCCGGGCCGCCGCTCCAACTTGCCATCCTGGGGAAAAACCAGGGCAGATTTTTTAGGCCCTTAAACACAGCAGCTTGCCCATTCAGTGGATAAGTATCAGAGCAGTTTGGGTAAATATTAGCATTAACAGCCTTCCGGGAGCATCGAAATGCAGGCGTCAGGAGGACAACAAACCCAGTTTTATTAGAAGCGAAGCTCTTCGCCAGCGAGTAGTCCTGACTCCAGCAAGAATGTGCAGTGGGAAGTCCTCTCCCTTCTCCTCCTAAGAATAACAGTGGTTGTAATAACAACAGGGCAGCGACCGAGACGGCAGTTGGACCTCACGGGTCCCCAGGACAACCCCTAGCTCAGGGCGATGGAAAGAAAGGAGAACAGTCCCCCCAGAAGCAGATAGAGCAGTTCCAAGCCTGGAGATAATTCTGCTTGTGGATCCTGCAGCATTGATAAAGTCGGAGAAAGTGAACCGAGCGGGGGGCATGGCTCCTGCTTTGATGGGGCGGCGTTCTGGGGTGCTTCCTTCTCACGTCTCACTATCCTTTGATGCCAGATCGTGTCCCCCTTCCTCCCACACAGACTCCTTTTCATGAACTCCTCTTTGCGTGTTCTCCAAACAAAGACTTTGAGATTTGAGGTCTGTTCACCCACCAGCTCTCAGAGTAAAGCTGTGCGGCAGTTACGCTGGTGAATTTTATTCCAGTTTGACAAAAACTTCACGCTTCCCCTTGCACCTTTTAGTGGGGTTTTGCGTGCTCGTGTGCAGGAGGTTATTTGTCTGTCTGTTTGTTTCTTTCACCAGTCATTCAGAAGTTGCTGGCTTTCTTTCTCCGTCCTCGCTTGGCTCTCCTTGGGGGGCAGGAAGTACCTTATGCAGAGAGTTAATTTATTAAGCAAACTTTATTAAGAATTCTGATTTACTGCCTTGTGTGCCTTGGGTAGATTCCTGGAATATTACCCTGGCCTTTTTTTTTTTTTGGTTGGAAATTGTCATTTCTTAAATGTTTCTTTTTAATGAAATCACTGGCGCCTTTTCAAAACAGGAGGGAAAAAATGACTATTTTTTCGAGCGAGCGTGTATAACGAGGCTAATTCCTGGGGTTCAAGGAGAGAGGGAGCAGGGATTTATTCAGAAACAAAGGGAGTTTTGACCTTCTTACAATCTCATTTTCTTTATTATTTTTAGATTATTCTAAATTCCATGCACAAATACCAGCCCAGATTACACATCGTGAAAGCAGACGAAAATAATGGATTTGGTTCAAAAAATACGGCGTTCTGCACCCACGTTTTTCCGGAGACGGCGTTTATCGCGGTGACTTCCTACCAAAATCACAAGGTAAGCCTCAGAGTCTAGCGGGCTGCACCTGGGGCCACCTGCTGGTTTATGTGAATATGCAGGGTCCTGACTGGAACTCTGTGCTTCAAGGGGAGTTTTATTCTTAACTCACATCAACATCACTGACTTCTACACCTGGGGGCTGTGCAGGGACCGAGCCGCCGGCCACAGAGTACAGTGGCTGTCCCCTATCCATTGAATTGACAGGACTGTCTCAACACACACGTGCATGCACATGCATACCAGTTAGAAATCAACTTGCAGCCAGGTGTGGTGGGGCACACCTATAACCCCAACATTTTGGGAGGCTGAGACAGGAGGATCACAAATTTAGGACCAGCCTGGGCAGCTTAATCTGACCCTGTCTCAAAAGAAAGGGGAGGGGGATATAGCTCAGTGGAAGGCCCTGGGTTTAATCCCAATTCCTGAAACACACGCATACACATACACACACACACACACACACACACACACACACACACACACGCACATACACACAAAGCAACCACACTTTTTTCCCCACTGCATAGATGCCATTTGATTATGTGGCCCCATGCTGAGGTAGGTTGCTAGTGCTACCCTTTCCTGAAGCTGCATTTTCTGTTGGGATCTGTGTCCTTTCCTCCACTCTGCCTTTTAGAGACATTGCAAGCAAGGATAGGGCAGATGGCAAAGGAGAAGAGCAAAGTAAAGGTCGACAGGGTCAGTAAGAGCAGGTGGGGCAGCTTACCCAGCTCTGGATGTGGGATGTGGGCACCCCTCCCCCATCTCCTGTCCCCTCCAGTCAAGTCACGGTGGGGGAAGCTGCCAGGTACAGAGCCTGGCCAAGAGGCCAGGGAAGGGTCAGAGGCAGGGTTAGCACCCGAAAGGTACCAGTCATCCTCTGCAGGTCATTCTGGTGTGGGCTGGGTGGCAGACGATGCCCCTGCCGAGGCCAGGGCTGTGGTAGCACACTTCAGGTAATCTCCCCGCTCAGGTTGTCGGGGACCAGGCTGAGCTGTGGTGGACACTCCCTTCCAGATCTTGGGAGACCTTCTTTCCTTACTCCTCCCAAACACAATTACTTTTTAACCGGGAAGGAACATTTTTCCAGAGTTCCCTGCCCTTGCTGAAGCAGCAAGAGCGAAACACCAAAGTCCAACACCCAGCCTAAAAGTTGTAAAACTATTTTGGGTCCCTTTGAGTCTGGCTCGCAGACACCTCTTTGCTCAATGGTGGCTGCAAACTCATGTTTAACTTTGTGGCAGTGGTCACTGGAAAAAATAGCAAGGAGGAGGAAGCTCAAGCCCCCACATAAGGTTCTTAGAACCTCCCAGACCTGACATAGTGTCCCGAAATACATCCAGTCTTTTTTTATGCCCCCAAGGAAGTCCATGTTCAAAGTGAAAGGACGGGAAGAGGTAGACATAGGACATGCAAAAAAATATGGGTGCTCAAGTCCTTTGGGGGGAAATTCCTCAGCTCTAGGACCTTTTGGCCTCCGCCCTTCTTGTACCTTGTTTACAGGTGGATGAAGGCATAATTGTCCTACACGAACAGTGAGTATTTATAGCATACCGTTTAGGGTTTCTCTTTATTTTTTTGTGTACTTGGTACCCCACAGATTTCTAGAAATGCCTTCCCTGATGTACATATTTAGGGATCCATGTACATGAAAGTATGCCTAACCAGCTGGCGGGTCTGTGTGAATTGTAAGCACAACACTGGGTGTTGTGTGTCTTTGCGCTCGTCTGTCCAACAGTATGTGTTTCCAGCTGTGCTTTTGGATATGTGGGTATTTGATGACTACACCAAGAGTTGCTTTTTTGCCTCACTGGTTGGACCAGTGAGTCCAGTATATGGAGCTGCATAGAAAGGTCTCTTTGGCCAGCCTGACAGACTCCTTGCCATGCAGAAGAGGGGTCTCCTAGGAGGGCTTTCTGTCGCCCTGACCCGTGGAAACGTTTCCTCTGCTTTGTACTTGTCCCAAAGGCACCTGCTCTCCGTGTGAGGGGCGAGTCCGAAGCAGGGCACTTCTGCAGGCAGTCGCAGGGCTTCCGCAGGCCTTTCCTGCGTGGATATACGATGTGTGATTCAACGAAGCGGCTGGGGCTGTGTGTGATTTGTAGACTCGGCCCCATGGCTTTATTGTCCCACCTGGGCTAGGTGTTGAGATTTCTGACTTCATGGGTTGAAGCCAGCTGAATTCTTATTCAGTGTGGGCTAAGGGGTGGAGTCTCAGGGGGAGGCTGCTGGGATTCAGATCTGCTTGGCTTTGGAGGGAGCGCTTAACTCAGTTTCCCTGTCCATAAAATGGGGGTAATCAAAGCACCCACCTCCTAGAATTGTGAGGATTAACGGAGATTATCTCTGTGAGTAAGGAGCTGAAGCCGTTGGCTGACTGCCTGACTGATGAGTTTATTATTAGCAAGACAGCTCCATTCAAAGCGCACACTCTGGAAAACTCTTGGCCTACCAGGCTTGCTCCCTGGCTATTTTCGAATCTCAAACACTAAGATGTTCAGTAAGTTTTTATTACTGTGGTTGAAAAATAATTACAAATGTTAGTGCTTGTGGTTTCTTTGGTCCATTCCCTGAGCATGCCATCAACATTAAGGACTATTCATTTAGCATTTTGCTTTGGAGAGAGGAGCAGGGAAAGAAAAGTGATCCATGTGATTCAGGTGTCAGGGCAACTGTGGCCAACACTGGCCTCCAGATTTTTGGGTCAAAGGGCTCAGTGCCTTCAGGGTGCTCTTTCTCCACGTGGACGCAGGTCCCAGGTGGAGGGAAGTATGTGGCAGGGTCTGCACACCCGGGGACCACAGGGCTCCTAATGACGAGACGTATTTCCTCAGCCCAGCTGCACTCCCAAGATGGATTTGGGAGTTATTTCCCCAGATGGTTGACAGCTTGAAAAAGATATTTAAAAACTGGAATCTTCCCCAGCGACATTCGCTCTGTGAAACACGTTTTTGTAAAGTCCTCGCTGGACTTGTCAGCAGCTCTCAGAGCAAACCCTAGAAATATTTAGGTGTTAAACAAGTCACGTGGGCATTTCATTTCCCGCCCTTGCAACAATGCCCATGTATGCGAGCATGTCTATCCCCCGATATTAACTTACTTTCCCATCAAAAGGCATTTTCCTCCTGCTTAAATCATTGTGTATGGAGCCCATATTTATGAGGTATGAACTTTCTGGTCAGGACCAGGAAATGAACCCCTAATAGAGAGACATAATTAAGATGTTTGGCTCTCGAGAAGTTTTTTTTTTTTTTTTCCAAAAGCAAGAATTCACAACAATTATTCTCATTAATTTTTACAACCTCTGTCTCACCAGTTGGAGCTGGTATTTATATTTGTTTTCTCCTGCCCGTCCCTCCCCCCGGATATCCATTTTCATGCTCATTTTGGAGAGAGTACGTTTGTTCCGTGAATAGAAATCATTTCTGTGGAGGCCTCTGGTAGACCTGGGCCATGCAGGTGTGTCGGTCTGGGTACCCGTGAGTAGCTTATTAGGAAGGGAATTTTGTAGGCAGGGTTACAGTGTCAGTGGTCACGTATAAAAGGAGACAGTATTTCACCCGCAGATAAGCTTGCAGGTAAACATTGCTCAAGGATAATTTTTTGGTCCTGTAGGCATCTATGCTCAATCTCGAAAAGAAAGGTATAAAATTGTCACACCTGAGTGTGTGTTCAGCAAATTGTGCTTTTGCTACACAGACAGAATTTTGCAAGCTATGGTGATTAGCACACGAATTAGGTGGCTGTGGGCTGGGAGTATAGTCTGGGGGTGGAGAGCTAGGTTCTATCCTCAGCACATCAGGGTGGGGGTGGGGAAGGTAGTAGTGAACCTGTTGGAAGTGTAAGGGAATAGTTTGGGCCCAAGGCTTTCGCTGATAAAATTACAACTCGCACCTTTTTTTTCCCCTCAGGGCAGTTTTTGGCCCTCAGTTCTTGGTGGAGTAGTGACATGAGAGGTCACGAATTCCACCTTGAATTCTTTTTTTTGCCCTTTTTTTTTTGTTGTTGTTGTTTTTTCCGGTACCGGGAATCGAACTCACGACCTCACGCTTGCCAGGCAGGTGCTGTGCCACTGAACTAAATCACCAGCCCCTCCACCTTGAATTCTCGTCCTCATTGTCTACAGCACTGGCAGGGACCAGGAGGGAGTAAGGTTTAGGGTTACCTTTACCCCTGTAGAAACGATCTGGTTTTCACTGAACCCTTGTGAGCTCATGAAAATGTTCTGTCATTCCTTGGGTTGTGTTCTACTGTGGCAAAATCTGAGTGGGAAAGAAAGCCTGCCAGGTCATGGGTCCTGAGATTCTTCAAATATAACTGGATTCAGAGGCACGCATCTTGAAGATGGTTTTCTAAGGGGGTTTTGCGGATCTCGCTACCCATGCCAAAGAGTCAGGACAAGATCAGAAAGCTGCAGGAATGAGCCCGGTTCAAAACAATGAGGGAGGAAAAGAGGGAGGGAGAGCGTGTGAACACACATCCACACACCCACACACGCATGCATGCACATCTACATAGACTTTCTAAGAGCAGTTTTAGGTTCACAACCAAGTTAACTAGGAAGTCCAGAGAATTCCCATACAACTCCCCCCACCCCGCTTTGTGCAGACTCTGACACTACCAGCATCACCCCCACCCCCCAGAGGCGCATCTGTGGTAGATGTTGTCACCCACCCCCTAAGGTCCATTGTTTACACTGCGGTGCAGTCTCCATGTTGCCTGCTCTATGGGCTTGGCAGACTGATGCACATCTACTGCTCACTGCAGTAGAAAGGAGGTCCTTCCCCTGCCCTGGAAGTCCTCTGTGTGCCATCTGTTCATCCCTACGCCTCTCCCTCCTCCCTCCAACCCCTGGCCTTCTTCACTTTCGCCATAGTCTTGCCTTTTCTAGAATGTCATTTGGTTGGAACCATAAAACGAATTTAAAATGTGAATTGTACATATATGTTTATTATGAAAATGCTCTCATGTGTGCATTTATGTAGTTTATTCTCGGCAGTGCTGAGGCTTAGCTCCAGGGCTATGCAGACCTAGGCAATGCTCTACCGTAGAACTGTGCCCCCAGACACATATAGTGATTTTATGTTCATCATACAGTTGTGGAGTTGGAAGCAAACCTTATAGCACATCTCTTGTAGGACACGGACTATAGCAGATTCCGCATGTGGAACAAACTACAGAGTACATTCGTTAATGATCCTTACTGCAGAGGTTTTAAAGTCCATATACTACTGGGGTAGATGAGATGGCTTTTATTGATACTCAAATATGATGGAATCCGGGGGAAAAAACTGTTCTGATAAATTTTTGGAGACAGGGTCTCATCATGCAGTTCAGTCTGGCCTTGAACTCACTAAGTAGCCCAGGCGGTCCTTGAACTTGCAGCAATCCTCCTGCCTCAACCTCCTGAGTGTTGGGATCACTGGCGTGCATCAGCATGCCTGGCTTAGTTCTATTTTTAATTATCTTTATAGTCTCCTATGAGAGAGAGTGTGTTAGTTTTAGTTCAGTGTTAGATTCTGTTAAATATTTCTCCAAAAGCAACCAATCTCTTCTCTCTCTTTTTTCATTTCTTTTCTTTTTTTCTTTTTTTTTTTTTTTTGAGACAGGGTCTCTCTATACAGTTCAGGCTGGCCTTGAGTTCACTTTGTAGCCCAGACTGGTCTCAAACTCACAACGACCCTCCTGCCTCAGCCTCCGGAGTGCTGGGATTACAGGAATGCACCACCATGTCCAGAGTTACCAGTCTCTTCTCAAAGCCAGGAGAAGGCCGGCTGTGGGGTTAGGGCTCTCAGTGAAAGAGAGAGTAGATATAACCAGTAGAGAGAATTAGATATGCCCATTTTCTTTTCAATGAATGGCAAGTGATTTGAGTTTGTCATATGGAGAGGTGCTATAATATTTCTGGGTAAAATAAATTGCAATAAAGGCAGTTTGATTTAAATTAAAAAAATGAAGCCAATCAGCACACTGTGCTCTATAGCCATGACAGCCATGAGGAGAGGGAACCCTGAATGAGGAGGTTGGAGTTACAATGCCATGGTGTCTGTAACGTGGTTCTACTCGTGAAAACTGAATTCACACTCGACTTTTGGGAAACACTTCCAGCGAACGCCATATGGATGCGCTCTGTCACCTAGACCCGCTACTGTGCACTCACACTAATATCACATGTGTTGATGGTTTAAATTAAAGTGCTGGGCCCGGAACCAAAACAGGCAAAAAGATCCCATTCTGTTGCTGAGCTCTGTCTGTTGCAGTGCTGATTTCTCAGAAAGCGCTTCCTCTTTCCTACCGAGAGAAGGACGGTGCTTTGGAGCCGTGAGATAGTTATCATACGTGTGATCATTGTATGTGTTTGTGTTTCTTTTCTTTTCTTTTCTTTTCTTTTCTTTTCTTTTCTTTTCTTTTCTGGTGTTTATTTTATTGGGCACCATTTTGCACCTGGGCTACAAACTCTCTCCCTGAAACTCTAAGGTGAAGCATGGCGGGGTTTTGGAAAGCAGGAATCAAGATGTTCTTTCTCCAAATGGGATATTACCACCCTGCCAGAGAGTCAGCAACCGTGCCAGGAGACACAATTTTCCAAGGGGGAAGCAGGGCAGTTGTTAAAGCCTAGACTGTGTTTGAAACACAAACACCAAGATTAAAACACACACACACACACACACACACACACACACACACACACACAGGCAAATCCAGCTGGAATAGTGCAGAATATGACTCAAATTAATGAGCAAAATGAATCCAGATTATTTTCCCCTTTTAAATGCAGTTGCATCTAGGATACTCTTCAAAGCCTCCGCTTGAATGGAGTACTAGGTCCGGGTTTGTGACTCTTATTAATCTTCTCTCGCTTGCCCAAGGCCACATTTCTATGACACTTATTATTAGCTCCCGCCTGGAGGTTGTCTTGTAGCAATCAAGTGTCAACACGTGCTCCCTCTCCCTCCTTCCCTCAGATCACGCAGCTGAAGATCGAGAATAACCCCTTCGCCAAAGGCTTCCGGGGCAGCGACGACATGGAGCTGCACAGAATGTCAAGAATGCAAAGGTAGGAAGGTGATCTGCTCGCCTTCTTTTCCACATGTGTTCCCCATGTCCCCCCCCAGCACCCCTGCCACCAGCCTTCCTACGCAAAGAAGGCCAGACACAGAGACAGGGGAGCCTGGGACCCATCCGCACCCTGCTTCCTGTGTGGCTGACCCCTTCAAGCCACCACCTGGAGGGGACCCTTCCAGCAGAGACAGCGTACAGGGCAGATCTGCTTGCTGTATCTACCCAGGGAGCCGAAGCTACACTTTCCTCCGTTCCCTCCGCTGCCTCTCCCACTATGGGCCTCCTTTCTCTTTTCCCTCCCATAAGTCACTGCCGATGAAGGCTTTTCTTTCTGGCAACAACTCTTGGTAAATGAGAGAGAAGTTAATGACTTGATTTCCTGGGGGTGAAATACAGACCAACTTGACACCATATGGTATCCAGGGCACCGAGGGATTGGAAGCTGGTGCTGAAAATTGCTTGGTATTTTTACATATCCTGTGGTCACAGTCGCAGATATGACAGATAGAAAGGGCTGGAGCAAATGAACAGAGTGGGAATTGGGTCTGATTTGAAAGGCTTGAGCAAGTACGGCCAATTTTGTCAAATGTTCTCCTTACCTCTTGATGGGCTTCCAAAGTAACTCTCCATATGGCAGCAGAATTGGAAATAACATCTCCATAGCTTGGATGCCTTGGGCCAAGGGATTTTTTCCTCCCCTCTTCCCACTTTTGGTGGGGTTAGTGTTTCAAAATAAAATGAAGTCATTTAGGATGTTTTTCCTTATGCTTTTTGGAAGACACGAAAAGGGAGCGTCAGGCAGCCAGACAGACACAACCATTCAGAGAGAAGGCAGAGACCAAAGAGAGAGAGAGAAACGCTGCGGCCCTGTGGTCTGAACGTTGGGTTTAGAACTATGTGCTGGGGAGATTATTTTTAGACGGCAGGCTTACCAGATCTAACTCTGCATGCTTTTGAAAAATAAATCGGACCTTGCCTTCAGGTGTGACCGTGTATGGCACACACTTGTGCCTTCCTGGGTTTGTAGTTGGTTTCCCTTTCATGATGGTGGATTCATAAGGTGATTTCTTGTAGCAAAAATAGCCCATTTTCTAAAAATATTATTTAAGACTTTCTTTGTCTGTTCTAAGCATCGACGTTTTGAAACTGACATTAGATTTAGTCCCAGGATCAGTGGAAACAGTGACAACAAAAATCATATAGAGCCGGCCATGGTGGTGCACACCTGTGAGTTCAGCACTCGGGAAGCTGAGGCAGGATGATCCCTGGGAGTTCAAGGCCAACCTGGGCTACATAGTGAGTTCAAGACCAGCCTTAACTGCATAGCAAGACCCTGTCTTAAAAAAAAAATTGCATTTTAGCTGAGAAGGTCCCCAGACTTCTCAGCTTTTGTTCTCGGAGTGTTTAGAATTCCATCTCCTCTGGCAGTTATTTGCCGCGAAGGCTGCTTACTCTTTGCCAAACGATGTCCCAGTCCAGTGGTACGCAGAGGGGACCAGGCTGGGCAGGGAGGGGCTGCCTCCTACTAGCAGCCTGCCACCAAGGGCACTGTCATCGCTCCCTTCTTCTCTCCTTCCGGCAAGGTCAAGGGCAGAGGGATAGTAGATTTACGGGGCCACCTGTCCACCCCCAGCTAACCCATCTCCATGTCTTACTGAGTCCACCTCTTCTGGGGGTTTGGGGTGCAACCCAGGGCCTTGCGCATGCCCCGATCCCACCTTCTGCACACAGCTCAGCCTTGCCCTGCTTTCTGCTGCCAGCCTGCACAGCCCAGCCCCCACCCTCCTCCCCAGCCGCAGCCTCCGGACCGATTTAGCCTGCCTGCTGCCCTCTTCTTGCGACAATCTCCAGGCTGCCGCCAGCCAGACCCTTGGGAAACACACACCGGAGGGGCCACTTCATAGCTGAGAGCTCTTCTGGGGCCGTTCAGGGCCCTTCAGGAGAGGGTCCAGGCTCCTCCTCTTGGCTGACCTCGCTCTTCCCTTCCGAGCCGGCTAGGTCCTAGCTTTGTCCCGCATTCTGTCCCACTGTCTGTCTCACTCTGCTGAAGCACAGGCTCCACACCTGGATGCTTTCCTTGGCTTTTAGCCCCAGCATGCAAGTTCCATCTGCCTCAAGCTCTCTGCAGCTCCTCCCCCGGCTGTGTCCTAACCATTGCTGGTCTCTGTGTTTCCTCCTCCCTCCCAGAAGGCCCCCTGGCCACGGGCAGTACGGTGAGCAGGTGTCTCCTTCCAGGACCTCTCCTGGCTTTCCTGGGCATGCCTAGGTCCCTGCCCTCAGAAACCCATGAGGCAGCTGTCAGACAGGAAGGGAGTCCTAGGCAGGGGATGCACAGGTGAGCATACCTACTCAGACACCTAGGCAGATGCCTCTACTCCCAGTCCTTCCATGATGTCCCTGGGGAAGGCAAGGAGGGAAGTGGCTTTGAGGTCAGATGAGCCCAGGGCCAACCCTGAAGTTGCACTTATCACTATGTGACTTTGGACATACCACTTAACCTTATGGGCCCTCAGTGTGCCCCTCTGTAAAGTGGGCATGAATACATGCAGCCTCCACTTTCTTTAAGAGTAGAGTAAGAAAATGCCTCTGGAGGGCTTGAATCATAGTCCATATTCTATATATTTTTTGAGATGGTCTCACTATGTAGTCTAGGCTGGCCTTAAACTCACTAGGTAGCCCGGGCTGGCTTTGAACTTGTGGCAATGCTCCTGCCTCAGCCTCCTGAATGCTGAGATTACAGGCGTGCCCCACCACACCCAGCTCACAGTCAGTAAAATTGACCCGATCTGGAGGAAAACTCCCTGTCACTGTCAGTTTTGCCCTTGCCCAGAATTTATTTTAGGCCCTTGTCCCCACCCCCCAGGTTGCAGCAGGTAGTGACAAGTGGGGATTGTGGCTCTGCGGACTCAGCCGTGATAGCAGTCAGGCAGGAACGGCAGGCTCCCTGCTAATCTTGCAATCCTGTTTCCTGTCCCCCACACACCCGGTGACAGCTGGCTGGAGGAGACAAGCAGGAGAGGTGAACCTTCCAACCACCGGCACTGGATAGGGGAGCGAGGTGGGGTCTTGAAGGGGTAAGGGCAGTTGTTAAAGTTCACATGAAGAACTCTCGGATCCGCTTGGCAAATGTCTGGGCACTGGGCTCACTCTCTTTGCCCGACTTGACTCTGTTTGGAAAAGGCCGATGATCTCTTAGTTATTTCCCAACACTCATTGACGGTTTCCAGTTACAGAAGCATCTCCACCGTCTATAAAAAACAGGAGAGCCACAGAAAAGCACAAAGGAGAGAATAAAGCCCGCTGAACATCCTGTCTGCAGCTGCCCATGAACATGTGCACCGAGTCTGCTTTAAAAGGCTCCTCTGGGACTTAAAACCACCTCCTGAGAGTCAGCATGTTCTAACTCGTAGTCCCCTGGACTGGTGACAAAGGGCACAATTGTAGACGACACACAAATGCATGGGCATGTTGCTGCTGTGATTTCCTAGATGGTGTTGCTTAGAATGAGACTAAGTTCTTTTTTTTTTTTTTTCAGACAGGGTCTCACTATGCAGTTCAGGCTGGCCTTGAGCTCACTATGTAGCTCAGGCTGGCCTCGAACTTGCAACCATCCTCCTGCCTCAGCCTCCTGAGTGCTGGGATTACAGGCGTGCACCACCATACCCGGCAGTTAAAATGAGACTAAATTCTAAGGAAAGATGGAAAGAAGAAAGAAAGGAAGGGAAGAAGGGAGGTTGGGAGGGAAGAAAGGTAGATTAACTTAAAGCTGATTAAGGGGAAAATAGTAACCACCGAGCCGCAGGCCTGGCCGCAAGTTTTGGTGATATTATCAAGCTGATGTGCAAACAAGAATCTAGCAGATACACATACTAGTGGAACCTCTGAGCCTCCCAGGGTCCCTTGTTTTCATAGGCCTTTTTTTTTTTTCTGGTACCGGGAATCAAACTCACAACCTTGCGCTTGCCAGGCAGGCGCTTTGCCTCTGAGCTAAATCCCCAGCCCCCCATAGGCCATTCTTGTCTTTGAGCTTTACATCAATCACAGAGGCTAAAGACTCTTCCTAGCTGTGGAGGGCGTGGGGCTGGGGTGATCAAGTAGAATCTGCTGGGAAGAGGAGTTCTCTGGGTTGGCGGCAAAGCAGTGTCAGGGCTCTGCACGTCTGGGGCCCTGGGGTTGGGGTCCGATTCTGAACATCTCAGGAAGCCAGCCGGGCGGCACTGTGATGGGGTGCAGTAGGAGCTGCTGTGTGGCATGGAATGCTAGCCATATGGGGACACGGGACAACATCTAGTCCAACTCTCCCCATCACAGAAGGGGAAACTGAGGCCCAGAGACTTAGGTTTTGATCCGTCGGTTTGTCTGCTCAACCAACACCTTTACCAAGGGCTCGCTGTATGCTGGGCACTGGGGGTGAAGACACGAATCAAAGCACACAGGGTGAGGGCCCCTGGATGGAGAGTGGGTCTTGGGTCTGGGGTCCAGGCCACCATCCTGAGGGCCCCGAGGCTCCCCTGCTCCTCTGAGTGTCTGTTCCCCTGTCTGTAAAATGGGGGCTCATGATAGAACCCACCTCAGGGCCCCTGCAAAGACCGAGCGAGGTGACGTTTGTGCCCTGGGGTAAGCATTCCATCACTGGAACACAATAACCCAGAATCAGCTTGGAAAGACGGAGGCTGCCTTTGGCTCTCGGTGCCAGAGGCTTCAGTCCATAGTCACTCGGCCCCGCCGTGCTGGGCCTATGGAGAGGAGCAGGGCAGAAGGGCACAAGCAGGAAGCAGCTCAGCTCATGGTAGCCAGGAAGCCAAGAGAGACAGGAAGGAGTGAGGACTCAGTACCCCCTTCAAGTGACCTCACTTCCTCCAGCCAGGCCCCGCCTCTTAAAGGAACCACCTCCTTCCCAAAGTGTGATGGGCTGGAGAGTACAGTGTGCGTGAACGACGCTGCTGTGTGAAAAGTGACTCCCAAACCTGTGCAAACTGGCTGAGAGGTGCAGGC